GTCCTTCTTTCCTTTCTTTGCATCCTTTAAAGTTCAAAACAAACAAGACTTACTGTTTTGTCTTCTGTTTTTAAACAGACTGAAAAGTCCATCCTGGAAAATTGTGGAACTTTCCATGAAGGATGTGTAGGAGCCCTGATGTTTTAGAAACCTCAGAGAATAAGAAGCTTTCTCCTATTTATTTTATTTATTTACATTTTTTTTTTGTCTTGTGCAGACGGTTAAGAGACCCCGAAAGGTTCCGGTCAATGTGATGCCCCGCCCTCCTTCCCCTGAAGTCTTCAGCAATGACAACTACAGCGACTACAACTACGACCCGGACCGCCGCAGCATGACCAGCGGGCGGGACAACAGCGTGGAGAGGGAGCGCCGAGGCTACATGGATTCTGGCTACCAGACCCGTGATCGGAACTACGACCGCGGCAGGAGCGCCGAGAGGGACCTGAGCCCCGACCGCAACTACAGACGAGACGGCAGCAGGGGGCGCACTCTGGATCGCAGCCCCGACCAGCGCTACAAGAGCGAGCATACGCTGGACCGCGACTACAGCCCAGACAGAAGATACCGCAGCGAGCGCGCCTTAGAGCGGGACTACAGCCCCGACCGGCGCTACCGCAGCGAGCGCACCCTCGACCGAGACTACAGCCCGGATCGACGCTACCGCAGCGAGCGGACGCTGGACCGCGCCCACAGCCCCGAGTCGCGCTACAGCCCGGGACGAGGCCAGAGGCGCGACCCGAGCTTTGAACGAGGGCGGGACCAGAGGTACAACGAGCCCATAAGGCGAACCGCCAGCAGGGACCGGCTGGACCGCTCGCCATCGCCGCCTCCGGCTCCCATCCCGCTGCCCCGCCCCGCCCGCGATCTGGAGCCTCTGGAGAAACCTGTGAATGTGCTGCTGCTGAAGAACCATCCCAACGAAGGTGAGAAACATCAAACGCTGCAGTGCCTGGTGTGAAATGTTAGCGAAAAGTAGAGCCCGACCGAAATGGGATTTTAAAGGCTGGAATAGATTATTAGGGCTTTAAAAAAAACAATATCCAATATAAATCGTCCAGAATCTAAAAAAACAAAACAACATGGACATAAACAGGATATAAACTGTCCTACTATAGTCCAACTCAAACTCTCAGAATAACCAGAAATATGATTGAAGACACTGACCACTAAGTATCCTGATCGTCCCAAAGAGGTTTGGGAAAATATTATTTGTGGTTTTTGGAAATTTTAATGAGATGCTGTGCTGTGAGGCTCTGACTCTCAAGTCTG